CTATTGAAAGAAATGTTATACTTGTATTTTTGCATATTCCTTTAATGATAGTATTGAATATATTCCTTTCATGAACATCAATTTTTTCTTGGATATCAGCAAAATGAGATCTATTTGCTTGTCTATGATCAACATTGAATTCTTGTAGAGTTACTTTTTCTGTTAAACATCTCTCAAGATCAGAACAACAGCAATGCTCCATATTATATTTTTGCATTTTTTCATTCATTTTCAAGTGCAGTATTTTTATTTGTGCGGAAAAACTGAGGATTTGTACAAGTACATCACACGTGTATAAAGAAGTAACTGATATTTCAATGTAGTACTCCTGGATATTTCTTAATTGTTGTATTGTATTTTTGGTGAGTCCGTAAAAATGTACATCTAGTCTTTTTGTGTTCAATATGGTAGTCAATACTGATAGTTCATCTTGATATAATGGCATGAGATGAAGATGGTTCCAGCGGGTAGTACTGCTGGCATTAAGAAAATAGTTAAGACACAATACGTCAAATAGTGAAAATTGTAATGCATGAAGACAAATTGATTGAGGACTAATGGATAGTGCTAATGTTTGGCATAGTTCTTTATTTTGTGATTCGTAAAGGAGATGAAGAAGGAGAATAGAAAAACCATCAACATGAGTAAGGAAGTTATCATGATGGACATGATTAACTATTGGATTAGTATAGAAATAGGACTGATATTGAGTATCAAATCCAAATAACCTTCTTGTTTTGCACTGTAAGTTAATTGATTTATTGAAGTATTGTTCATAATTCTCATGTGGACTAAGTTTGGTTAGGCCTGCCACAAACCTCAGACACATTCGAAAGTGTTCATTTTCCAAATGTGTATGAAATATCTGCTCTGGGTTCGGTTGCTTATGTATCCACCATGCTGCTAGAAACTCTTGAATACTCAAGTGCAGAAACTGATACTTTTTCTGCCTGTAATCTTTCAAAGTTGTTAATAGTCCAAAATAATTATTGCCCTTGGCTGCTGACATCTTTTGTATCGAAGAAAATGTCATTATTGTATTAGCCAGGTTAGTGTAAGCAAAATAGCAAATCTGTTCAAAAGGTGTTGCTAACTCTACTGGTAATGAACAAAGGCTGTCTAGGACCTGTGGATCATCACCATCCTTTTCTCTTTGCCTGTTGATAGTTTGTAAAATAAAGTTCTTATACAATTCAGTAAGTGTTGTTGGAAGTTTTCTTTCTGTATCATACACTAAAATGATGATTGAACAGATTAAAGGTATAAAACATAACGATTGGACATCACTTTGTACTTTAAGTTCATTAATTAGCTTCACTGCTAGTTTTGACCCTATAGTTTTATCAGTACTTTTGACTTCAAAAAAAACAGATTCAAATCGGAAAAATTTACCATGACCAATATTTTCTGCAATGAGTTCTTGTGCTAATTTTTCATCTTTTTGAAGTGTTTGTATAATTACTTTCGCTATTTCATCCTTAGAAAATCCAATAACTTGAATATGTTTATTGAGAGGAGACATTTTTATAAGTGAAGAGGAAGCATAGCTACGAGAGGTAACAATTACTGAACATTGGTCTAACTGCTCTCTACGAATAATAGCAGCAGCTAATGAAGATTGTCTGTGGTATTCATTTAGTTCATCCCAACCATCAAAAATTATCAGCATCCCCTCTCCATTGCACTCCTCAAACAAATCAACTATCATAGGAACATTATTACGTTTATACACAAATAGATCTTTTAATGTATCGGCTTTAGCTATCTTCTCATTTCTCAAAGGACAGTAAAGTACCAAGTCATAATGCGGAATGAGTTCTCCATCAGACCACATATGTAAAAGTTTACGACAAAGTGTTGTCTTGCCAATGCCAGGAGGACCATCTATTAAAACTACAAGACTTAGAAAATCTTTTGTAGGTTTTAGAATATCCTTAATATCAACTTTTTCATTTCCAGCGAGATGATATATTTCATCTACTTGTCCCCGTAGAAAGTACCAATCTGACGACTCTTGTTGCTGAGTAGAAGCGTCATCTTGAGGAACAAAGTTATCTTGATGAAAAGTTGAGTTATTTTCTTGAGAAGTTGTGCTATCTTTTTGCTGTATAAGTGCTAATCTTCCAAAGACGTCATCATTTCCAACTTTTGGTGGCCAATCTGTTCCAATAATACTTTGTTTTTTGTAGTTTTGTTTTAAAATATCAGCATATTTTTTTACATCATCAGGGTAATATGGTTCAATTTCATCAGACTGACCTGTCAACAATAATACCAGCACTAATAGCACATTTATATCATAATTATAAATCTAAGGCTATATTAAATTTGGGTTAAGCCATTTTTAGTTATTATGGATAAATAATATAAAATTTCAAATAATTATACACAATTGCACATAATACAAATTTACTCCATAAGGATCCACTGTATATATAGTGAACATTATATACACCCTAGTCTCGTCCCCCTAAAGCAAAGGGGTGGGGGACGAGACTATATACACCCTCAATTATAATCCCTAAATAATGGTTAGTAAGCCTAAATTTTTTATTTAATCACACCACAAGTTACAAAGCCCATATATTCCTCAAAAAAAAATTCATTATAGCACTTTGAAAATTTGGCCTAAGGCCACTCCAATTAGACACAGGGTTTCCCACAAAGTATGGATGCTTCACAAACTGACGAGCACTACATCGCATTTAGAGCAACTTTTAAATTCATTAAAAATCCAAATTTTATTGGAATCAGCTCAAAGTTGATACACAACATAAGTACATGTATATGTATCAGAAAAAATAAAATGAAGAAATCTCTCATTGTGATTTTTGTCAAGATACTCTGTCTTAGGTCCAATTTTTGAGCAACTTAACAATCCACTGATAAGAAGCTGCATGTGGCAAACCCTGCGTAGTTTCCTGTTTCTAGCATTAATGGTGCCGTGTTGCAAACTTGCAATTCATTATTAAGGGTTTACTTTACATACACACAGTTTATACAAGTGATACAAATAAATTTAATGAAAATAAACAAGCCCACCCTAATCTGTAATGGGAAACAATGGATGTGCTTATAATTAACATGTACTTTTCACCAGCTTTAATTATAATAAAAATTATGAAGCTCTTCAGTGTACCATATACCAGTATGCATATTATAATCACTGTAGCAAATAGTTTACATACATACCAAAGATAGAATTGACTAGATCTGTTAGTGCCCGATTTCTTGGGTTCCTTAATGTATGAAATACATCAAATAGATACTGGTATGAATCCAGAGAGGCCTTCAACTGTTGTTCAAGGACATTCACAAGTAAATAGGCTCTATTACGAGGTGTAGATGATGATAAAAGCATCTCTTCTTTGGTTTGTTGTGGTATTAAGTTTTTAGCATACAGCCTATTTGTTGCCTTAATAAGTGTTGAAGAAATTGCATTAACAAGTTTGTCAGAGCACATCCTTAATATTTCCTCAGGGTCACCTACAAGTATAATTACCATATAGTTAAGATAAAATTAAAGTGATTCATACAGGTCTCGCCCCAATTATACATATAAATTCATACATACCTGTTATAGGACCAGGATTGAGTTCAATATCTCCTGACAAGAACAGAAGTAGCCGACAGACAACGAAATACAGAAAAATACAAACTAAAATGGAAGCAAATCCTCCAGCCAAGACAAAACGAAAGCATGCAGAGGAACAACTAGTAATAATGCCTGACATAGATAATTAGTATTGTTATAGCATTATAGAGTTACCTACCTGGAAAAAGTAAAGATGCTACATTACTAAGGTAGACTAAAGCGACAATCAGATACAAAGATATAACATTGCTGGTCTTGTCTCTAGCCACAGTTTTACACAAATTTGGATGGCAAAATTGAGTTGACCTACAAGCAGCAGTCTTACAGCTATTCCATAGGCCAATGCAGGCTCTCCATTGGGAAAGATCCACCATTTTTCAAAAGCAGAACTCACGTGATGCATGATTACAAAAATAATATAATCTCTTGACAGTGTAATGCAACACTGTTAAATCATGCTTGTCTCTTTTTAATGGTAAAAGGCGGACTTACAATATTACGCTAGGCCAACGTACCATCAATTTTTAATCAAAAGTGTGTGCAATTTGACCTTTTGATGCATGCTTCATGCTGGAATTGAACCAGATAGTCCTGATGTTACATTGACGCTCCAGTCTCCAGCGTCAATGTAACGTCAGGACTAGCGTAATATTGTAAATCTGCCTTAACAGATATTAATCATCAGTTTTAAGTGACTTAGGTGATTCATAATTATTAGAAACAGTTATCAGCTTATAGAAGTATTGTCATTAAAGCCTTTGAATATCCACCATCAATTCACAAGCCACTTGCTTAAACTACACATAGTATGACAAAAAAGGAAACATGAGAGAAAGCGAGGAAAGAAAAACAAATAAAAACGCCAATATCATGATATCATAGTAAATTACCTCTTCACTTTTAGAAGAAGCAAATTCTTGTAGTAGTTCAGGAGTAACTGATTCCATTACTTGTTGCATTAGTGCTGGAGTCAATGGCTCAAGGATAAGTGACTGTACCAACTGGAGACAATACAATGACACTGTACTGCAAACATCCTCTATAATAATAATAATAATAATGATTAAAATAACAACAATAATAATAATGATAAAAATAATAAAATAATAACAATAATAATAATACACAGTATTTTTTAAAAAAAAAACAAGGTATAGCCATGCCTGACATGGGCAGATCTAGAAAAGGTTTATAAAAATAATGATTTCGTAAATTCACACAATCCCAAGAATAAAGCCATATGCCAGAATAACAACATATATACATGACACATTCTACATGTAAAGATATTAAAAGTACAAATGTACATGTATTTACCGTATAGGGGATATATTTCATGGGGATTTAATTTTGCTAATTTCACAGCTTTAAAAAATTCATGAAAATTTCTATCTATGCAAATTATTTTTTATCATACTAATAATGGTCAGTAGAGAAAAAACGCAAAATAAATTTTCTTGTGAGTAGGTTGAAAGGTGATTTTCATAAAATATTTTCCCTGGGAAATATACCCCCTATAGGGTATTACCTTTAGCTAGCCACATTAATATTTTCAGTAGATCGGGTTCAGATCTTAATAATGTTAGTCCTTTTTGATTAATACTATAATTATGTCATATAGAGACTTATAAATATTGTTAAAATTATTAGGTACCTGATGTTATAGAGGAGCATAAGAATGAGACTATAGATGAAAGAGACCATTAAGCTGATATAAATTAACATTCTAAAACTAACCTCTTAATTTTAGCACTATAAGTGAGACATAAAATGATAAAAATAATCATAGCAATAATTATTTTAAGGTTTACCATCCTTGAGAGAGGGGGGCTGTAGCCAACACTGAGCACATGTTTTTCAACAGTTCCTGTCCTTCAGGACAAGATGACAAATATTCTCTTCCATAAGCAGATGCTGCAATATCTAAAATTATAATTACAGTCTTAAGTATAAATACTTCTAGGTAGAACTAACTGGTAACAGTACCACAAAGGGAGATGACAAACTGAGATTCTTGACTGGATTCACTAGGTAAGTCACTATTATAAGTTGATAGATAGCTGTGCAGTGTGGCTGATACCAATTGTAGAAAATCA